TCTGAGAGTAATACGAAATTACTACTATGCGAGCTTTTTGTCTAGCTATATTTTAGTCTTACTTGGATCAATTCCTATAATAAGAAAGAATAAAAAAACTTCTCGAAATAGGAGGGCACGAGTTATAGTTTAGAAACAAACAATAATAATGGTATTTGAGACAAATTCAGAGCTACTATATATATATACAATTATACATTTTATAAGGACGAAATTAATAATCCATGCTAATACGTACAAATCTCAACATGAGTGATCAAATTAATAGGCTAATATCGGGCCTCTCAATATCAAGTCTAGTTGATCTCACTAATTAAATTTGTATCCGCGCTATAAAATCGAAGTTGACATGTTTTAAATTTGGACTAATAACGATACTCTTGCTTGCTAGCTAGCTAGCTACTTATTACTCACCTTCCTTTAAGAAAAAGAATGTATGTTATTTAGGTGATAAATAAGTTTGTGACTCATTTCGCCAAAAAAAATCATCTTCAATTCACAATTAAATGGTCAATGAAACATGAGTCCGATTCGTGTGCATTTTGCGAAAAGCGAAATCTTAGCTTATTTGCAAATGATACCTCGAGAAAGAATAAAGTAATTATTATTGGTAAATTACAGCAACCGTTTCATTAATAATAAGGGCGCTAGCCGCTAGGCTTTGCTAATCACGCACTAAACGCAGAAAATATAATGGGGCATTCGGGGCGATATAATTAAGCTAACTTCTGCATGCCTATCTATATATAGGTAAAGATGTTTTTATGTGTAATATATATTGTTTTTAAGTATTGTTTGAATATCAATAATAGAAAAAATATAATGGAGCCAATATAATACGGAATAAGCTAGATTCCTTCTAGTCAGCGAGGTTAATTGGATCGATGTAATAATATGCTTGCTAGCTAGTTTAGACACTACCTAATAATATCCGTCCGGTTGCAAATTCAACCAACGTGAAATTTAATGTTCTTATTACTACGTACTAGAATTTCTTAATCTATGAAATGAGCCCAATTTTTTTTTCTTGAAATGAGCCCAATTTTGTTATAGTAAACGGAAATAATATTCAATTAGTTTATTCAATTTCATTAACTTACAAGTTGATCTTTTATCACTGTTAAATTGGTACATGTTGGTACTACTCCCGGTCCCGCTAACACTGAGACATAAGGAGGTAATAAAGTTATTTGAAAAAATAAATTAATGTGACTTACATTAAATTGAAGTAAGAAAAATATTGAACCATACTATTTTAGTGGCCATTTGGGGGAACAAAAACCGGCTGAAAAGCCTAAAATGCAAATAATGTCAAACACCCATACGGGCCATATCATTAAATGCGCTGGTATGAGTGATTCTTATTTTCAGCCAATAAAACAAGCCAGACCTTACTTTTTCAGCTCAAATTTATTTTTGTACTATTAGGTAAATGTAATTAGTGGTGTATCCTTCGTTCTAATTCGTTTCTTATGAATAATCAGTGGGTTCTTATTGATGTACGTAGTATGTGATTACCACTTTCAAAGTTTATAAAGTTATTACTCGTATAAGTTATGACACATTAACGGATTAACCCACTGATATTTGTTCTTACTTAATACAAATCAACCATTCTAGCCCAGCTGGTTGTAAAGTTACCGTGTCTAGCGAGAGGTCTCTAGTTCGAAACTCGGTAGGCACATAAGGATTTGAAACTCAATGGAATGAATTTCAACCCTGATTACTCCAGCCTCCCCCAGCCCCCCTCCCCAAAACCCCACTGGAGTAAAAAAAAAATTAAAAATAAAACGATATACGAGTAATAATTAGTCTATCCTTTGATTTTAAATATTTTGCCAAAGCAACTCTTTCATTTGAACTAATATTTAGTTCTAAGAGCAATTATTTAATCACTTAGTTCCAAAGCAATCACTTAATTAATTAATTAGGCAATCAGTTATACTCACCTAATCATGCAAAAATAATTTGCTAGCAAGTTCCTATCCATATATTTAACACAAATAAGTCAATACCCTTTACGGTAATTTGACATTCTATCAGCTATTTCAGCCAACATATTACCAAACACTTTCATTTCAGTAGATTCAGACTTTTCTGGGTTTTCAGCCATTCCACCGTTGAAGCTGTTAAAAACAGTCCCTTCGTCGGAGTATTATTTACAAAGAGACCGTTTGGCAACACTGTTTTTCGGCTTATCAGGCTTATTAGCCAACTTTTTCACCAAATATGTAAGTTTTGCTTTCGTGCAGTGAATTGTGTAATAAGTAGAAAATGTAAGGTTGGAGTTACTTTTCTGGCTGTATTGGCTGAAGTTACTGTAGATGACCATTTTAACTATTTTTACCTATATTGTTTTCTTTATTTTATTAATAAAATACTACCTCCGTCCCGAATTGATTTGCAATTTTGACTTTTCTTGGTCAAACAGTTGCGTTTTGTTCACTTAATTAGGTTGCCAGTTTTTAATTATATTCTAATTTGGAGTTTACAACTTTGAAGAAATTTTGATGTAGTTTATGAATATGTAAATTTTATTTATTAAACATTAAATTAATTATGCATAAGAAGGGTTGACTTTTATTATTGGTTGACCAAAAAATGTTGACTTTGCAAAACAAATTGGGACGGAGGGAGTATATTTTAAAAATAATTTTTTCTTAAATCAGCAGAATCAGCCAATGCAGCCACTTCAGTCAGAACTTCATAAATTTCAGCAGAATTAGCCAAAACAACCGATTTTTGTGCTACCAAACGGTCTCAAAATATAACTATGGGAGGTGTATATAGGTTGAAGGGATGTGACGCTTCAATATTACTAGATGATACGCCAAATTTCGCCGGAGAGCAAACGGCGGGGCCAAATAATAACTCAATTAGACCATTTGGAGTGGTGCAAGAGTCCAAATGTCAAAAATGGACTCCGTCGATATGAAAACAGTGTTTTGACTCCTATTCTCTGCATTCCAGCACCGTCAATAAAATACACTCTGCACATTTTTTTACATATCAATTTAGTAAAACATTAATTAAATTATTATAAGTAATGTTTTCCTTTTAATTTTTTCTCTGATTAATCATAAAATAAAAAAGACACATTTCGATGTAAAAAGACCACGTATGCACTGTTCACGTTTTAGCATTGGAAATGCTCTAAGTACAAAAGAAATGGAATTCCTTAATTTCAACTATTCATTAAATATATTTTTTTTTTGTTTCCAAATTATTTGCATCATTTTTAGTGGTCCAATGATAATTACTGGAAATAAAGGCTAAAATAAGACCCCTAAGTTTCCACTTTCCAAATGTGGGACCAATTTTTTATTGGACAAAAAAGATACTAGTATTAACATAGGGAAGCAAGACTGCAAGAGACGGACCAAATTAAAGCCCTGCTCCATCTATCGCCATTTCAGTAACCTATGGAAGCAAGAGACGGACCACTTCCGACGCCGAAGACGGTGACCACCAGCGACGACCGCCAGCAACCAACCATAGAGAAGTCCATCGCACCACCATTGCTGGCCAATAACATCGCCGCCGCCGAGAGTATTATCGCCGCCTCCAAGGCCATTAAAATCGCCGCCGCAAAGGCCATTATTGCCGCCGTTGGTTTTTAATCGGACACTTGGATCTACTCTCTCCCCTTGTTCTTCTCCTTTCTTCTACCGGACGATTTCCAATCGCTCAATCGATTGGCGGGGGCTGCTGGGAGGCAGTTAAGGCGGTGGCGAGGGAGCGGCGGGGAAGGGGTTGGGAAGGGGCTATTGGGGGCTTATGAAGGGTGCTTGGGGTTGGAGGCCACTGGTTGCTTGGGTAGGGCGTTGGATGGGGGCTCTTGGATGCAGGGGTTGAAGGGGGCTGGGGGGAAGATGCTACAGGGCTGCAGTGGTCTGGGTCAAGGTGCTGGAGGGGGTCTGTGGGTCGTTCGAGGCTGGGGGAGGGTGCTGGAGGGGGGTGGGTGGGGCTGTGGAGAGGGTGTTGGAGGGGGTTGGGGAGGGGGCTGTTTGGTGATGGGTGGCGGTTGTCACCGCCGGGTGGCGGCAGAGACCCCCGTCGGATGGCAACGGTGGTCAATACGTTGGTCGGGGGAGGCGGTGTTCGAAGATGGTGGTGGTCTGGGCAACGGTGGTGGGGCGGCCATGTAGGTGTTGAATTGGTCTTGGTCATTAATTTGGTTAGTCACTAGTCAGATTGGTCATGATCAGATTGGTTAGGGTCGGATTGGTCACAGGCGGTTTGGTCACGATCGGATTGGTCATGGTCGCATTGGTCATGAACGGATTGGTCATGATCAGATTGGTCATGATCGGTTTGGTCATGATCGCATTGGTCATGACCGGATTGGTCATGATCAGATTGGTCACTGGGTGGATTGGTCATGGTCACTAGTCAGATTGGTCACTGGACGGGTTGACGTTGGTAACTAGGTAAAATTTTTGGTCACTAATGATTTTGGTCACTGACGGATTTTTGGATTTTTTTGTCACAAATGATTTTTGGTCACTAGATGGATTGGTCATGGTCACTAGTCAGATTGGTCACTGGACGGGTTGACGTTGGTAACTAGGTAAAAATTTTGGTCACTAATGATTTTGGTCATTGACGGATTTTTGGAATTTTGGTCACAAATGATTTTTGGTCACTGGGTGGATTGGTCATGGTCACTAGTCGGATTGGTCACTGGACGAGTTGACGTTGGTAACTAGGTAGAATTTTTTGTCACTAATGATTTTGGTCACTGACGGATTTTTAGATTTTTGGTCACAAATGATTTTTGGTCAGTGACAAATTTTGGTCACGATAATGGTTTTGGTCACTGTGGCGTTATTGTAGACTAATGAGTGAGATTCTATTAAAATAAGGGTATAATAGTCTCTTAACCCATTGTTAGTCTCATTTTTGGAAAATTAAAATAAAGGTCTCTTTTTTGTTCATAGCTCTTTTTTTATTATTATTTTAGACATAATCATTAACAACTTGAAAAGTAAATTAATTATCTCTCATTTAAAAGAATGTGTGCCCTATTAAACAGTTTAAGGTCGAATAGAATATCTAACAACATTATAACTATGAATCAGGGTTGGTACCCTTGATTTATGTCAATACATTCTATGCGTTAGATGTTGTACATTGTTATTAAAAAGTGGAACCCACTTTTCCATTTGGCTTTTTTACCCTTTATAGGCCGTTAAACTTTTATCCTCCGTTAACTCACCGTTGTTGAGTGAATCGATGGACGCCATAGGTACTGAAGACTACGCTTTGTTGTATGAGCAATATTTGCTAAGGGAGAAAGAAGAGAAATTGAAAGTGGGAACCAAGCCAGCAGCTGATGTGGTTAAGACTTTCTTACTGATCGAGAGCAGCCCAGTCATCCCATCCGCTATTGTTGAGGAGAGTAGTGTGGTCTCTGCCAATGCTGTAAGCAGTGAAGATGGGTATGAAGTTGGACTGGGGATGGATGTAGTTGGGTATGGGATCGAGAGAGCGATGTGGTCCTTTTCGAGAGTTGCGGAAGACGGAGCGGCAACCGTGATGGGCGGTGGTACGTGACAGCAGGTCATTCGGATGATGGGCGGTGGTACTTGGCAGCAGCTCATTCGTGCGGTGATACTTGATGGCGGCGGAGAAATTGGTGACAATTCATTCGGGTTTTCGGATCTTTCAATTTTTGCCTAGGGAAATGTTATGAAATAACCTTGAAGTGTTCCTAGGTCACAGGTGGATAGATGGAATCAGCAAAGGGAGAACGGCACCTTTCCAGATTTGCTGTGAGTGTCTCTGGGTCACTATCATCACATTTGATTCCATTACATTCAATGGGAATCACTATAATTTGTTAGTGACAGTAACTTTGCCTTGTTTGCCTCACTAGCTCAATCAAAATGAGTTTACTTCACCAATGCCCAGTAATTAAACTCAATCTAGCATGCCATTCTTCTTCTTCTTACACAAAATTCACCCTACTTAATTTATACATATTAAGATAATAGATTTTACAAAGTTAGTAAGATATGTAAGTATTGATCATGGGGCAAGATGTCTGAAAGGATTAAAGCATTATATGATTTTTGGTTGTCTTTGGATTACTATATTAATGTTAAGTATTAGTGTATTAGTATTGAACTCCAATTCACTTCATTATTTCTTCATTATGGCCTGAAGGCAGTATTTTCATTGTTAGCTTCACTTTGGATTCATCATTTTAAATTGAACAATGATTTATACAAGTGTTTTGACCGAATTTTGAGGCTATTTTATACTCCCTTCGTCCCTATATTATCTCCTCCTTTGACATTTCACACAAATTAAGGATTTGTGTGGTGGAGAGTTGTGCAGAGGAGAGAGAAATGTGTAAGAATGATTGTGAACCACAAATTGTTTACCAAAAAAGGAAAAGATGAAATAATTTTGGGACGGACGAAAAAAAAGTTTGAAAATAATTCAGGGACGGATGGAGTAGTGTTTTTTTGTATTGATTTATATGGTGAGATATGCAGATTTATATGCCTCAATATATGAGGATGCTGATTTATATGCTGAAAGGCTATTATGAGGGCGTTTGGCAACACTGTTTTTCGGTTTATCAGGCTTATCAGCCAACTTTTTCACCAAACACGTAACTTTTGCTTTCGCGCGTTGAATTGTGTAATAAGCAGAAAAGTTAAGGTTGGAGTTACTTTTCTAGCTGTATTGGCTGAAGTTACTGTAGATGATCATTTTAGCTATTTTTACATATAATTTTTTCTTTATTTTATTAATAAAATATATTTTAAAAATAATTTTTTCTTAAATCAGCAGAATAATGCAGCCACTTCAGCCAGAATTTCATAAATTTCAGCAGAATCAGCCAAAACAGCCAATATTCGTGCTACCAGACGGGCTCGATATATGTTGACTCATGTGCTGAAAGTGTTTTGACTAATTTATTTGCTGAAATCTGAAATATGCTAATTTATGTGTAGTATAAAATATGGCGTGAAAGGATTATGAAAAGATATGAAAATATGCTTCAAGGTCCATTGATCGTTTTGTAGTGCTTTCCATAATGTATGAATATCATTTGGCCATGGAAAGAGAGGATGAAAGCACCTGATTAGTCTAAATTATTAGCACCCTTACCTCAAGCATAAATTGAACATCAGTCATTACCTCAAATTGTGCAACTAATCATGGAGTTCCAAATGCTAACCAAAAAACACCTATGGCTAGGGATATTGGTCCAAATGTTGGTGGAGCATTAGGAGGTCCTGGTCTTAAAGCTTCACTATTTCACGGGCTCAATTCAAATGGAGTTGGACTTCCAGATTTTGAAAAAGCAAGCAACAGTTGAATTAAAACCCCAGCATGATTTAGCATGATTTAACGAATAATCTAGGAGTTTAACACGACAGAGACCTAATCACACACAACATGAGTTTAAAACATCACAAATCAGACTACAAAAACATACGAAATGTTATACTACAACTGACATCACAGGTTAGGCCTTAAATATTTCCCAACTATTACAACTACTACTCAAGAATACTAGGGTCTAAATGGTGCATTATAAACTGTTTCGCTACACCTTCTAACATGAGGTTGAGTGTCTGGAACTTCACTACTACAACTTCTTATTTTCTTTCTTGGGTTGGCAAACACTTGTATAGCTGTTCTTGTCTCTTTCAAGATGTGACAGGTTGTTTGGACGCCACATCCGTATCTGAGGGCTTTACATGGCATTTTGATTTATTGTGTCCCACATCCTCTCATCCTTGCATATAGAAGAAGTCACGAGTTTCCCTATTCTTAAAAGCGTTGTCCTTCCTCTTAAGAAGTAAATTATGAACTCTTACAGTAGAATGATGTAAATTATGAACTCTTACAATCTTATTTCAATGACATTCCCCGTTCATCAAACCCCCTAACAAGCACACCCTAATATTAGGTGAAGTCAAATATATGACATGAACATCCCAAATTCTATGTTTGCAAATTTCCTATATAGACATTTACACTTATTTCATACTCCCTCCGGTTTTTAATAAACTTCACACTTTCCTTTTTGGGACGGTCTAAAATAAACTTCACACTTCCTTATTTTTTTTTGGCAAAGAAATCTACATCAAAACAGTGCCAAACAGTGCCGAACAGTGTCTCAACAGTGTCAAACAGTGTCTCTACAGTGCCAAACAGTGTCAAACAGTGCTTCAACAATGTACTCTACAGTAAAGTCAAATTTCTTTCCTTATTTTGTGTGAAGTCAAACTGTGAAGATTAAAAAAACCGGAGGTAGTATATCCAAACAAAAAAAGTCAAATCACATAATCTCGTACTTTTAAATAATATAGGAATACTTTCCACATTAGTCTTGGGATGAAAAGGAATATAAATGATCTGACAATTTGTGAGAGATATAGGGAATCTCATAAACTACTTTAAAAAAATATCATAACAATCTCGCATAAAAACAACTATTTACAAAAAAGAACATTATTTTAACATTGGGCAAACGCTCTCGCGTCTTGCGCGAAGAAGCGCTAGTAATACATGAAAAATACGTATGAAGAATTCATGGGCGTCGTTATTCGTTAATATTATATACGTAGTTTGATCAATTACACTTTAGCATGATTTATATTGGGAAAATCCCTTAATTCGGAATAGACAAGTTTTAAAATTTCAAAATATGACTGTCAAATTTTTATTCACTAAATAAGAGTAATTTTTGTCAAGTTTGATATTATCAGGCTTTAAACAGGGTAGTTTCTACCAAGATTTTTCCAAACTTAACAGAAATTACTCATATTTAGGAAATAATAACACAAACATTATATATATTTTTTTTTAATTTCCAAACGTTTTTACTCCTATTCAGAATCATTTCTATCTATATTTTAAGATATATACATCACGTAGTATAATTAGTCGGTGACTACGTGCTAGTTAATAGGTGAAACATATTCACTTGCTATTTTTAGCCTCATGACATAGACACTATATGCGAGTTTTTCCATGATAGAATGCTTTCATTTTCGTGAAATGAGTATCAAATGAAAGCTCATGAGATTAGATGAGATCAATCGACCAAGAGGTCCAAGACAAGACTTAAATTAAATTAATAGATGGAGTAGCCTAGACTAAGACAAGAGGAAAATTACATTATACCAAAAATTACTGATCTTGTTCAGACAAGACTTAACCATAACAAATCGGGGTTTATCAAAATGTACCAACTTATATTATTAGATGAGAATAGATAGATTGAGACCAAAGTGGACTAGAGCCCAAAAGTTTTGGAGTGGCGTCGTCGTTGGGATGATCAATCATTAAGTTGCATGTGCTTATACCACGTTTTATGGATATGAATCTTGATAATTAGCTAGGTTGAGTACGTGACAATTATTGTTTAGTAATAATTTGTTTGTACATATCTGCTCACTCCTTCTCAATCATAGTTTAACCATTCAATTAGCGGTCCGAGTCGTCCGACAAGTGTAACTGTACAAGTATTAAATTGAGACAGTGAGATTATATACTTCGAATATGCTATATTTTTTTTTTGTGAAATTAGAAAACAAAGATATATAGGTAAATCTGTAATGGTAGTTTTTTTAATTAAATAGATGTAACGTGAGTGAGACAAGTAGAGAATGGGACATTTTTACGAAATGGGTCAAGTTAGCGTTTAGATATATCTTCAACGTTTCATCCATTCCAAAAAGGTGGAATCGCCCCCAGGCGCTCCATCACACACCCGACTCGACAGAATAGTGAAAGAGTAAGTTATTATATGATATCAAATGGTTTGTGAGTGAGGTGGTTCAAGGCCTGATGCGCACAATACAAGGAGCCACCAAATCGGCACATTGAATGAAACTCCCACACTGTCGCTACCGAAAATTAAATCTATGACTTCAATCCAACAACCTCTCTCAACCATGGTTGACCTAGATACTTTGTGCGGGTTTCAATGTTTACATCCGAACATAGTGCAAGATCGACCTCTAACATATAAGTCTGAGGGGTGTTTGTAAATGCCTTTGGTTGTCAAAACTTATCAATTGACGTAGTATTATTATGAAACTAAATTAAGAAAGTGATACTTAATAGACTGCCTATTACGTGATTCACTTGATTTGATCGAATGATAAATTATTGCATTATTGCCCTTGAAAAAAGTTTAATACTCCCTCCATCCTATTTTACCTATTCTACTTTCATTTTTGGTTTGTCCCAAAATAAGTGTCTTATTTCCCTTTTTGGAAAGAAATATATGTGGCCTACATCATTTCACTTTATTATACTCAAACATCAACCACAACTTTTACTTTTTCAACTACTTCATTAATAATTTTGTCAAATCAAACTAAGACACATAAAATGGGACGGAGGTAGTACTTTGGAGTCCGATCCGGAAAAACATAAACATGTTTGGGACTATCCAATTTTGTACCTTATTTTTTACTTCTCCCTATTTTTGTGGTTCACAAAAGCAATGAGTTAAATTGGGGCAATTATTTTGTTGGGTTGAGATTTTGTGAGCCACTCAATGAATAAGGTACAAATGGGATACCCAAAAATGGGTACCTCTATCATTTCTCCTAAAAGGAAAGGAAGAAAAATGTTGGGGAAAAGGAGCAGAGTACTTATTGTTTCTGGTCATTTGTCTCGATCAAATCCTTCTTATTCTACTCTTTTTATTAATTTGTCTAACTTGTGTAGATAAGTTTTACTATATTTTTTTAACACTATTCAAATTTAGGTCTTCTTCAAAATGACATTACTAGGCCGTCTAGGCCTCTATGGCTTCTTTTAGCCGTTTTGAAAAATGATTGAATTTTCATCTTATATTAATTCATGATTTTGAAGAACTAAATCAAAGAACTAGAGCCCGTTTGGTAGCACAAAAAGCAGCTGTTTTGGCTGATTCTGCTGAAATTTATGAAGTTCTGGCTGAAGTGGCTGCATTGGCTGATTCTGATGATTTAAGAAAAAAATATTTTTAAAACATATTTCATTAATAAAATAAAGAAAAAATTATATGTAAAAATA